TGAAATAATTGTCTTCACATGTGGAAGAGAGCTTGGCCTTTGGAACCCTCAACATGACCTTGTGTGCGTGTGTGTATAGAAAGTGATTCTTCAGAAATGCGATTCGATAACCCAATTTTTTAGCTAAGTGATGCTTCATTAGGTAATTTGAGGCCTCTTGATGCCAGACTCTGATGCCCTTTAGAACAGAGGAAAGCAACACTGAAAATTAAATCAGCTGAGGGTGTCATGTAGATGGTCATAGCAGTTTTATCAGACGTAAATTACTGTGGTTGCCCTTTGTCATGTGCACGTCACCTTGTCTACCTGCAGTTCGATCCTAAGGCATAGAAAAGACCTCATATCAGGCCGTGTATTCAGTAAAGCGGTCGTAAACTTGGGAGAAAATGACGAATCAGGAGTCGGTGTTGGTGGGTCTGTGAAGATCCTTGATGAAGGGCCTCTCACGTACCATAAAGAGTGAACTGTGACGGGGGATTCCTGTTACATGCTGTTTTTAGACCCACCCAACTCTTCATTCTACGTCCTTTTTGTAGCTGTTTGGACGACACCTGTTGCGCCCAGTCAACAGAGACCACCTACCGTCTCCAGTGCTCTCGGAGATGAGTTTCAACACGCCCCAATCCAAACCCCCATCCTAGTCGACAGATTATTTATTTCGCCTCCTCTTTTTCCTCTGAACCTCTCACTTGACCCCCTCCCTCACCCGTACGAGCGTTTCCTCACCCCTCTGTGACCCGCACTTACCTCGAGAATTCTGGCCAATCACTGTGCGACGCCACGGCTCTCCTCCAGTCACAATACAGAGGAGTCGCTCCAGAGGGACTGTGCTACTTTGTCTCGCATTGATTCCGTTTTATCGATTGTCGTAAATATCATTAGTATTTTGGACTAAACTGATGATGGTTTTGTGGCTTAGCCCACCGTCTAGACTTCGGGTTGGTGAAATTACGTTTTCAAAGGACAACCCCAAGACTGAATTGTATCTAGTGATGCTGTTTGCGCGTAAGCTTGTAGCGAAGTACCTAAAGGTTACGCGTACAGAATGCCTGGTTAGGCCTCCTCAGGGTGTCATTCTCTTTCACAAATGTTGCTGATTAAGATACCAAGGAGCAATATCAACGTTAGTGCGATGCGCCACGCCTTCTTCACGCAAGTGGAGGAGCAGTCCAAGACACCAACGAAACCGAGTGTAGCAGCATTTCGGCATAGTTGTACGCAAATTTTATGTTCTCAATCTCTTCAAGAAGCACTATGATAAGTCGACTGTACTGGCCACCAATCTAATCTCTCAAATACCGCTTCCAAACACTCAATCAAGTTCACCGGACATGGGCCATCGTGCGTTCGGCACTCGATGAAAGCATAAAAGTGGGTGACAAAATGTCAAAAAGAGGGATACACAAAATAGGCAAAAATAAAATCAATAAAATGTAGCGCGTCTAGGCGATCTGCCCACAGAGCCAATTGTGTAGAGGGATGGCGAGAAACGCGGCACCGGTAATCCCAAGGGCGTCCGAGAAGGCGGCGACCGACATGCTGAATTCCTTCGTGTTGGGCTCGCTCTGAAAGCAGAAAAGAGAATGCAGAGTAAGCACTAAGTGTGGAGGCGAGGCTGATGCAAGGTCGGACTAGGTCCGTGTTTTGATAGTTGCTCCTCCTTACGAGGGCTATCGCGAACCTGGCCGGAATTACTTTTACAACTGCTTCCATTGTGACCTTATCGGCATGGATTTGGACGGTGGGAAAGTCATTTGAGTTTGACTCTGCTAGATCTCAGAAGGCGGACGAGCTCCGATCTCATCGCTCACACGAAAGGACTAAAACCCACATGCTTTGGCTACATAAAGTGCATCATCCAGTCGCTCAAGAACACTCCCATGTTCCCCTCAAACAGTTCCAAGAGCAGTCAATAGGTGGAACATTTGAGTGACTTAGAGGAGTCGTCTGCCTTCCATAAAACGAACTACACCCAATTCAACGTTAGGACCTTTCAACCACGACGGGATGGGAGCCTGGTCTAGAGACTGGACCCTACTTCCTATGACTATCGTCTATCGCAGCCAACTCCGAACGACGTCACAGGAATGCACTTCGACACTTGCCTCGGTGAGAACTCGGTGGAAGGTGTTGACGTAGGAGAGGCCGCCTAGGATGCCCTCGTAGGCAATCAGACCGAAGATGACCCAGATGTTTGGCGCGAAGGGACGAAGTACTTGTACCATGAAGATTGCGAAATTGAGGGCCTGAAATGCATAGAGCCGATGTAAGGGTGTCTTTGGCAGCCTCAAAGAACATGTCGTGGGCCCCAGCCGAGGGCACTGAATTAACCCTGGCCCGATTACGTTACCCTGATTCCCTCGATAAGGAAAAAGATCGGAGAGAATGTGGATACAACCCTTTACTTTAGAGCTCAACCACGAATTAGGGGGGAGTTGAGAATCCGCGCGGCTGGTGACATGCTACGAAAAGGGGGACCCTGTGTCGGAGGCTGGAGTGATCGGATTAGCGAGCGTGCCTCAACGCGATTTGCAACAAACGCTTGAGATGTCACTCAAAACAACTGCTGGTCAACGAAACGCTGAATAGTTGACCTAACTCCTAGGATATGTGGACCGCTTTTAGCATGCACACAACTCCAGAGAGTGATCTGAGGCCGTCTAGACATGGTACGATCATATCAGGCTACAATAATCACTCTATTCATGGGTGTTACCTGAAGCACTGCGAGGAACCAGGTCTGTCGTATGTGGAAGAGTTTCAAGGAGGAGCGAGAGACGAAGACCCCGCATTGGTAAATAACTTGGAACCTACAAAGGATGGGGTTACAGTTATGGCGATCAAAAGTGCCACCAAATTGGTTGTTTGAGGCACTAGCTGTACAGCTGTCACCACCTCAACGAATTGACCAACACGACTCATCCACAACCATACTCGAACTCGCGTCAGTGGGGGCAGATTTGCGATCGAATCACGTGTTTGTTTGTTTTACTTCTCATGCAGTAGTTACCGGAGTTTACACAACTACCCTCTGTACACAGACGCAACGAGATGGTGAATAGACGAGGTTGTGTCAGCCTCGTTGCGTTGTCAATTCAGAACACGATACGCTCGTGAAACCGGTGTGATGCAAGGCTACGAAACAAAAGAAGATGCAGGAGACATTGTCTGACGAGAATGCAACTCCAGACTCACCATCTGTACTGCTGGGCATGATCCAATGAGGTGTTATCAAAATAGATTAATTCGAACTAAAAGATAAAAAACCCATGACAAAATAAACACACAAAAAATACTTATACAAATTGCACCACGGCCTTGATTGACATTGCTTAAATCGTCTAAGTGACACTTGGTATCATAGGGGTTGGTAAGACGAAGTGACTTGTGTTTGTTTTAAACGGCGGTGGTGGATGGCGCCTTTTTTCATTTTTTAACACACGTTGGATGCAAATTTCGCCTAAATCTCATGAATGTAAAACTGACGTCCATTAAATTGCTTACTTTTAATTTTTAAAATGACAATCATGTAAAAAAAGTTAAAGGGAACCCTTTTTGGGGATATTTCGCTCAAGGTTGATTAATTTTTAAGTAGGTCCAGGGATTTCGAAAATGACCGAATCTAAGCCGAAATTGAATGAGATCAAATGAATCACACACACAGAGAAATAAAATCACGTGAACACATTCGGTTTGTTTTCTGGCTTTTGGTCAATACAATGAATTAGGGAAGCAGCTCATTATGTCAGATGCATCTACGATGAAGATCACAAAATGGAACGACTCGAATAAAAACTAGAACGGTCCAAGCGGGACAAACCAGAGCGAACCAAATCGAGCAGAGACTGCGCTGTCAATTTGGTGGCATCACAAAAGCGTCGTGTTCTTAGCTACTCCCAAGGAAGTGAACAGCCAATTAAAGTGCTTACCGCAAACGACCAGCGAAAATAGACGTAAAAGCAATCGGGGAAGAATCGCCAATTTGGAAGGCATCGCGACAACGCAAGAACAGATCACGGAATACTACTAGAGCTTCGTTAGGAGGTGACAAATATCCACCAACCGTGGTAGAAAATACGCAATTAACCAAAGTTAATTCTTCGTATTTTAGGAAAGCCATGTGAACCTGGAACTACATTATCGCCAGCTAACTGCCACAAAAACTGTTGGTACGTTGGTAATTTACGAGTGTGACGCGGGGTCGTAGAAACAGGCGGTGTCCTGTTAGTTCTGTACCATCTTTTGTTTTACTAGACTGGTTTTGTTGGAACATCGTTCAAATTCCCCACGTGCTCCGAAACTTACCAAAGCTTGATTGATGAGATACTCGAAGAAGTAAACCAACGCCAGGCAAAGCATCATTGGGAACAGCTTCTATGGGGAGTGAAAAAAAACATAGTTTTGCTACAAGATTACACGGTTTGCACACACACGCACCCCTTAAAACATCAAACCAGATTCATTCCACTCGAAAACGGTTGTAACTACGGTTCAATGTCTCGTTATTCACGCAGGCACATGTATGCAAGGTAAAATCACCACATTTTCGACTTGTAATTGGTTCGAGTCGATCTAGTTAATATTTAGGATTTAAAATACGCGACACTCATGGCCATCTCACTTCAAATAGACTTCAATTTAGCGCTTACACCAGTTTAGATGGCAACTTATCTCCCACAAATATATCGCTGTGAAGGGATTAACGGCGTTTGACTGTCTAAAAGCATTAACTAAAAATTTGATTGGTGTGAGAAATCTAACCAATTAAACCTTGCGAAAAATTTTTTTAATAAAAGCGAGGCCAGCGCAATGATAGTGTGACTTTAATGCGCACCACGAGCACACATATCTGTGAAATATCGCAGTGGTCTGTCAACACGAACGAGCCTGGTCGATTTTCATTTGCAGGGTGTGCTCACGTGTAGATAAGACATTATTGTGGATCGTGTTTATTCACACCCCCTAATCCGATCGCTCCAGCCTCCGACGCAGGGTTCCCCTTTCCGCAGCATGTCGCCAGCCGCACGGATCCTCAACTCCCCCTCATTCAAACGGATTATCCTCACACCTAGGTCTCGATGTTGACGCGTGTATGACTCACACACCAGAGGTCTAAATACACACGTAAACTTCACCCACGACACGACACCAACGTGGTTAAGCTCTGAAGCAAACGGTTGTGTTCACGTCCTCTCCTAGCTTTTTTTTCATTGTGGGAATCGGGGAAACGTAGTCGGGCCAGAGTTAATTCCGTGGCCCCGGTGCGGTTCAAGGCCACATGCCGGGGCCCACAACAATACTAAATTTAGATCATTACATTAAGTTCATCGCTAGTAGCATTCGCATATTCGAACAATTTACCGTCACAAAAGAACAAAACACCCATAAAATTCCCCATCCAAGGTTAACTAAAGTATTTTGAGGTATGAAGTTATGCAAATGTACCCCCTCCCTACACACACACACACACACTTATTTACATTCGTTTCTTCTGGCGAACCATGGTTTCCACACTGTTCTCAATTGGGAGCAGCAGCCGTTTGATAGCGGAACGCTGAGTCACAAGTCGAAGAGAGGCGCACTGTATAGCAAATACCGCTTCCCATCTTCGCCAATTAGGCAAAACGACTTCAAGGGTCCCTGACACACCCTCGCCAGTGGTCTACTCGCTGTTTTTGAATTTAAAAAGATCTTCGGTGTAACACAAATGACTACTAACATCCGAGCGCCACAAGCGCACATAAACAATCACAAGTGACTGACTCCCCGGAACACACCTTCCAAAATAACCAGGTAATCTCAGTCGGTCTTTTAATTTGTTTTGCTGAGGTGGCCGACCTTGTATCTAAATTTGGTCGCCTTTTGAAAACGTCATCAGACCTAGAGAGGACTTATTAAGGATGAAGATTCCATACGAAAGTATCATGCATATTTCCACAAGGCATACTTCTTTAAATCGGTATTGACAAATCCGACGCTAACTAATGGCGGTCTTAAATTTGAGCGAAACCGGTTTTCAGGAATTCCGGTCTGAACAGCATGTGAGAGACCGTTTGCAACAATCGTTTTGGTGTGGCCATATTTAAAGCCTATTGGTCAGACGAAGATGGTGGTTTGACCAATCAAAACCAAGTTACACAGAAATAAGGATGAAAGGCACTATGAAGTACTTTGGGAATTCCTGGTGGTAAAAGACACCTCGTGAGTGTGGAATAGGCGCCTCTGAATAGACTCGGGAGATACATCTTAGCTTATAGACTTTCGTTTGAGGTCGCACTTCTGAAAATCCTAGCTTTTGCTTAAAGTCATGCAGATCACTCCTTATCTGCCTGGAGAATCATTAACATGGTAGAAAATGACAGCGAAGCCAAGTTACAGTGACACTGGAAAGAAATTTAAGGCTTTGGTGATCATTACTTGTGGTGGCCTTGTGTGATATATTAGTGAGAAACAGGCAGTAAGTTTGGCACTACGAACGACAACTGAAGACGACCTTTTGCGCTTGCTTTAGTGGAAAGCACGCAATCTTTGAGATTCAATTGAGTAATCCCGAAAAGATAAACACAAAATGGAGATTTAAAGTAAATTCGTGCAAACGCTCAGCACGTGAGGCAGCTTGCTCACTGCTACAATTGGTGGCCCCTATGTGGTACTGTCAACCACAATACCCCGTCTACTACGAGCGAACGCAATGATCCTTATGCGTCGCAATTGCGTCTTACACAACAATGGCAGCAACTCAACCACCTCGCGATCAACCACGGCAGCTTGCTCATGTCTTCTTCCACCAACGTCGTCCGCAATTCGGTCGAACAGTTACACCCCACGTCTCAACCGCTTACTCCTCAAGACGACCTTCGACCGTTTACTGTGTTTCACCACGAACACCTTCGTCGATTGTCGGCGCGTGGAATATTGCCCAAACAAGTTTACTGCCCGCCTACATGATGCGCTAGAGGCTACAGTAGGTTGAGGTGTCTGAGAAAACGTGATTACAACATACCTTTATAATGCGTTTCTTGACTTCCCAGGACGGCGAGACTTGAACGAACAACTCGCTCTGTTGGCCAGGCAAGTCCGCTACATAAAACAGAGAAAACAAGGCAGTAAGTGAACAGAAAGGAGGAGCGATTGTCCGCATTCTAGCACCCCCACACTCTAGACGCTGATTGGTGCGCCATCCTGAATATCCCGGCTAATTGGAAGGTTGCGCGCGCGCATTAAGGTCGAGTTGGTTAACCTTGAATTCGCGTCAGATTAGGAATACTACAGGCAACACGTTGACAGCCTCAGTACTGTAGGGGCTCACTTCATGGAATCCACGAAGTAGTATTTTGCGAATCAGCCAACAGCGTGCCGAGTACAATCCCACGTCGGCAAACCTGATTGGAGGAAGCTGATGGCCCACGAGTTCTTTACAGTGATCGTTCTGCGTGGTTTTACTCTATGCACATTAATTTGTTTGTTAAAATGCTTTAAGTGCAGTTCTACTTAAATCCCTGTATTTACTTTTTAGGCTAGAAAACGTGCGCTTTAACAACAAAATTATAAGTATTTTCAACCCAGGGGAATAGCAAAAATCGACAGAATATGTTTTAGGATAAAACCCGCGAATTATCAAGTTTGTGGATTTGATGAAATGTTATGACACTTAATACCACAGATTTATTATATGTTATAAAGTACTGAGCCACTGGACCAATCAGACTAAAGGTAAGTTAAACCAATAGACGTACAGCCTTCCAGATCTGCAGCGACCAGGTCCGAGTCCGAAGTGGCCGTGGTAGATTCAGCGGCCGTTTCGTTGCTGTAAGTCAGGGGCTCGAGAAGACGGGTGTACTGGGTTTCGCGACGACAACACGACGAAATATCACCGCAGGTCGCCTGAAACACCGCAATTTGCGGCTTCTCCAAGATTACAAAATATCTGCGGGAAAAGACCAAGAAAGTAAAGGATCTTATGGCTACAAACAGTAATAAATCGATTTTGGGGAAAATTTCGAGCTTCTTTTCCTCACATACTTGGAAAATGGTTTGGAAGTCATGTATGCAAAAGGATGATGTCCCCGAATGGCCGTATTTCCTAACTCATCTGATACGAACAGATATTGCATGACGGTGCACTTTAAGCTCAGTCGAAAGTGTCTCCGGAATGTTGGAAGTGGCGTTTAAGCAGGGCCAATCATCTTGTGTCTTTGTAGAGCAAAGTTCGACTGAAGACACCTAGCTGGAAACAGTATCGATTGCAAAAAGGCTGCGACAGATTAGCGAATGATCTGGACAATTTACAGATAATCGAAACGAGGCTTTGTTACAATTAAATCATTGTTTTCCCTTGGATTCTTATTCACGTGTACATAAAAACCTTTTCCTGTGTCTGAAAATGCACACATTTGAGGATTTGATGGAATTTAAGGAAGTCGCTGGAAGAAGGGAAGTTAAATGTTCTAAGCAGAGGTGATAAGAAGAAAATTGCAGTTTACCCCCCCCCCCCCAAAAAAAGGCAAACAGTTTGACTTTATTATGAGATTCTAACCAGAAAAAAGCGTTCAATTTATCGATGGCCTGAATGTGGAGAATGATTACTTGCGTGCATGATGCCAGAACGTACAAAAACATCAGTTAAGCTACACTCGGTGGGTATTTTCGTCCAAAAACTGCATTTTAGTAGGGTCTAGTTTAGGGCCCTAAAAATTGGCCACAAATTCATCTACGAAGAGAATTGAGTCAACAAAAAATTGCATTGGTGGACACAGCTTTTTTATTATTGACATCACAGCATAAAAAGGCAAGGCCTTATTCGTTTCCAAATAGACAGAATTGTTAAATTGCATAATGTAAACCAAGTTATCGTGTTTGACAACCAATGAAACTCGTTGTTCAGAGTATACAGTTCGATATTGGAAGACTGCCGGTGAGGTTTACCTGGATTGAACCAACTTACTCACGTGAGGTTATTTCACTTAATTGACTACTGCGGTTAACTTTGCTAATAAAAGAGTGCTCGTATGTATCGAGATGCTTTTCGGTGCGTGTGGAGTAACTTACGTAGTCAGCATCACCAGGGGTGCGAAGAGGGTCGCTAGGAGAGTGGTCTGCGGCGGAACCAGAGACGTCATTCCGGCGTAGAACGTGGAGCCCACAACGCCCGCTGCGCCGGTTCCTGAAGACCACGACGACACCACAGACCTGTAACGCGAAGCACTGCTTTTCAACGTGGGAACTGCGCGTCACAAGCCACACCGCTCCGCTCCACAGAACTGACTACTTGATCTAGAGCAATCTACGCGCACTCACACATCTGCGTCAACTTTACTAAGATTTTGTCTACTGAAACTGGTACCGAGGTAAGTCATAGAGAGGCAAATTTTTGTGTTGAGCCGCCGGAAACCGAGTTACTAGAAAAGGAACGAAACTCACGTGTCGAAGAATGCCACCATTGTCAGAAAAGTAACATCACCAAGACCACACGAGAGGCTTGCACAAACAACGCCTGAAAAGATAGATGAAAGTAACCGAAACACAGGACAAACGCTCAACCAAAGTAGTGCTTATAATTTTGCCGGAATTGTAGATCGCGGTAGATGATCCCTTGTGTTTTCTCTGCAACTCGCGTAGGTGTAATTAATAGCCGTGACGTCGGTTACAACAGCAATAATTACACGGTGCAAAACGTGAGTGTACCTTGTGTCGGTTATACAACACGGGTCGTGAAGACTTATTGCAGTCCATTTTTACACCGAAATTTCGACATGTAGCATTTGATTTTTCGAAGATATTCGATATTTGTGAGACTAGTGAAGGCTAAGCAAACACGTCGCATACATTTATAAGACTTTATTACGATTTATATAGACATTTCATCAAAAAAAGCACAAACAATGACTGTGAAGCCCTTGAGAACACATTGCGCAACGTCCCTTAGGAAAATCTCTGAAAATTTCGGCATTAAAGGCACGTTTTATTAGCCCAGCCCTACGACACCTTAATAAAGTGCGCAATCAAGACTTCTGCAGAACTTGCAATAAGAGCATTTTTGAGAAGATGACCCCACAATGACCCAAATTTACTGAGATCAAGAGATACGCAACAGCGCGCGTGACAAATTAGATACTCCGAGACAAATCGTAGCCTGCTTAACCGTAAAAGCGGTGGCAAGGAAACAAGGCGATTGAAAGGTACGCAAAGGCTTCGGCTCAGACCGCGCACCTTGTAAACACGACAACACGAACTTTGGACGATGAAATCGACTGTTGAAGACCTATCTGTTTACACAATAAGTTAAAATAAACAGTTTGATATTGCGAACACGGTTAATAACTGGCAGCTACACGCAACTAACACTGGTAACCGGCACTAAATGCTTTACCAGGGTGCACAGCATGCAAAAAAAGTTGCACAGCAATAAAATGTGTTTCATTAAAGTGAGCCTGGAGATTGTGAATTTCCTGCCAAACGAGTTCTTACCAAAGAGGCTAAAGGCGACTGATTTCGAGAACGACACAGTGAGAAAGGCAGACAGGGCGAGGAACACAGATAGGCAAACTTTGAAACTGGAGTCAAAAGAAAACGATGAAATTATTTTTAAGCAATTGAAAAGAGGGATTCCAGAACAAAACACCGACTTACTGGTAGTGAATTCGTCTAATAAAAAGAGGAGCAAGGATTTTCAACAACAGACTTGGTCCAATATCGGCCAGAAGAACGGCCTACAGGGGAAAGTGACATTTAAAATTTCTCTCAAAAGTGTCCTCTCTCAAGTGAAAAATTAACATACGCCAGTGCCCATCTCGGTACAGTTCAAAGGACTTCGATTAGGCCTCTGTCCAGCGCTGTACTAAAGGGAAAGTAACTATCATTGTAATGGCAGTATTAATACTCTGTTTGTACAAAATGGTCAATAAAAACAGCAACTTAGACTATGGGCTAACAGCACCCGTGTTCTGGATTAGTGGTATCTGCAGCAGCAAAAGCAATAATCATGAACGACATTTAAAGACAACAATGAAAGATGTTACAAAGTGATTTGCATTCTTTAACAATAGAAATGACGAAGCGGTAACCTTTAGCTCTAGTTTGAACTTCTGTGAAAAAAATGGCGAGAACGCAGACGCCACGGGGAAGGCAACTGAGACGTAATTTCGTTGGGATTTGGTTGTTGTATTCGGCATATGAGAGAGTGATGATTATTTGTGCGCTTTTGTACTTTAACTATGTTAAGGCGATTTTAAAACAGAACTAAAACTGTTATTTTGTGTACATGTTAATTGCATAAAAGCGACTTTACTAAGCGGTATTATAGTTTAAAAAACTTCGAAAATGTACATGCAACATCCATGCTATGAAAATTAGATCATCAATTAAACCTATTTCATAACTCTAATTAACTGAACAATTAATAATGTGTGCTCGATGGAAGCATACGTACTGATCTGGGACATAGCCAAGTGGGAACATCGTAATCTCTGGATAAATTATATAAATGTTGTCCTTCACACAATTGTTAACGAAAAACAATGAGGAATATGGCCTGACTGACATTCACCACATGCACACAAACACTACAATGATTAAGTATCAAGGCACGTTCATTAAACACAAATAAATGGTTCTAATTGAATATGGGGTAAAAATGTCAAAGGCACGTACTCTAGGGGTATTCCTATCGAGGATGTCCACAGCGGCGCTCAACATAACAACGTATATGAAATTATTAAATAGTCCGAAACACCAAAAAGCAATGAAATTTCGCCAAGACTGCCAACAATATCGTAGACGCCCCCAACACATTCTATACAGAGCAAACAGTCGGTCAAAAGACCGACGGCCTTCGTCAAGCGCGCAGAGGTCACAGGCAAGCAAAACAAAAAATGATGAGTGTAAATTTTAAGCATCAAAATATTTATTTGCATTTTTAGTAGATATCACATTGCACTTCTCCTTCATAATTTGCATAACCTCTAAACAAAAACATAGGGTTGGATATAATAAAGAAGTGACTAGATAAATCTTTTCAAGTAGCAATAAAGAAAATTTATTTACCTTGTTTCAACTACGCTTCAGAAACAGTCCATCAACAGGTAAGGGAAAAAGACAACGTTCATTTATACAAATCAATTCAGCAAATTTCACTAATATATCATTTATGAAAGCAGGTTGTGTCAGACACAATTTCCTAATCTTGCTGCAAATTCATAGGTCTGAGAAATTGTTCTGATATGAATGTTCAAATTATCACAACTTAGACGATCGAATCAAATGCTATGTCACATTAAAAGCAAATTGGCCCTTGATTTTCGATCGAATATAAAAAGTTCGCAATCAACTTTGAAAAAGCACAACCCACGAATTTTAAAATGTCAATTAAGTCTGAACAAAAGCTCGATTTCCTTTTATAGAGGTATAGCAACCAGAATAACGTTCACAACAAAGTAACCGTCATTTATAATTACAGGTGCGATTTTGATGTTCTAAACAGCAAAATTTGTAAATTCGACCAAATTATAAAGTAGCATAATGCACATTATGTACATTATCATCTATCCTCCAGCAATTCATTACTTCTATTGACAGTACTTTTGTTTGATTGGTTCGGCCGCTCCTTATTTTTGGAGTTTGTAAATGTCTCGAATTACAAATTAATGAAAGGCCGTTTCAGTCGCCTAAAGCATTCATATTTTCTGAACCTTGCAAATCCGGCCCCACAATCCTTGGAAAATCGAATAGTTATCGTCTTAACGCCGCAGTTGTTGAAAATGTCGCCTGGACACGCGTAGAATACCCCAGCCCTAGACTGAATAAGACGGATACAACAAAGCAGGCTTCATTGGCCAATCATAAGCCAGAAAAAAACACTAGAATCTAACCAGGTGCATCCTTAATGCCGGCAGAACCACTCGTTATATGCCACTTCTGATCTATCCATGTCTCTGATTCGCTGCAATTCCTAGCATGCCATTCAAACGCTAAGTGAGGCTGAAGTGGTCTAATATGTCAACGCCCTTATTCGTCACTAGTGAAGAATACCCGAGCTCCAGTATGCAGCAGAATGGTAAAACAAAACAGGCTTTATTGACCAATAACAAGCCAGAACCACACGTCAGGCGTGGGTCATCCGAGTCTAACTCGCTGCCTACGCCGCCCATTATTTACCCCTTCTTAAACGTGTTTGTCTCTGGTTGACTGCCTATCTTCCCCACATGCCATTGGAAGGCAGAGAGACGTAGGATTAGCTGAGGCCAATGTGAACCAATATGTCTGCTCCCTCATACGTCGCCACTGCAGTATATCTAAGCCTTAATAGGAAGATGACTGATACAACAGAACAGGCTTAATTGACCAATCACGAGCCAGAGCCACACGTCAGGCGCCTTCCATCCGAGTCCGCCACGCTGGCCACGCCGCTCATTATATACTGCACCTCAGTC